ACAGGTGATTGAGATAGGTCTGGCTTTGAACAATGTCTCTGAACAGGTGATTGAGATAGGTCTGGCTTTGAACAATGTCTCTGAACAGGTGATTGAGATAGGTCTGGCTTTGAACAATGTCTCTGAACAGGGGATTGAGATAGGTCTGGCTTTGAACAATGTCTCTGAACAGGGGATTGAGATAGGTCTGGCTTTGAGCCACTCCACTAACGATTAATTTACAGAGATGTTTGGGTGCTGTTTTAGCCTCTTTCCCTCATGTCTTGCCATTCATTTTTCTTTTTATGTGCATGCATCCTGTGTCTGTTTTTTGTTGTTGTTGTTTTTTTGTTTTTTTAACCTGGAATTTGTTTGTTCTTGTACATCTTTAACTAGGGTATTGTTATCATAGCTACCATCACCCCTGAAATGTTTGGCTTTGGTTCGGGTAGCCTTTTTAAAAATGAATGTCCAGAGTTTTGGAAATAGGTAGACAAGATGATAACAAACATGATAAAATATTAAGTAAGAATGTAAACACTAGCTAAGATATGTGTACAAATATCCATGAAATAGGATATATAAGACTATTATCAATTCTGGAAGTCATGTACTGTATCAGATGCTATTGACTGATTGTTTTTATTGAATAATAAAAATGTATGTCCATGTTTCATTTGTATTTGTGATGTAGAAGTGTATTTCTGCTTACAGTTCAGTAAGTTGAGGAATTCCTTTTTAGCTAAGAAGCATCCTTTGGCCTGTTATATGTTCCTTCAATCTTATGTTTGTATCCACATGTCGCTCACTGTCTTTATGGGTGCTCTCTTCCATGTTTTCCAGTAACTTTTCCTTCAGAAATATCCTTCTCTAAACTGTTGTACCTCTTAATAGTTATGAATAATAAATAAGAACACTTTATTGGTCCCTTTGGGGAAATTTGGGTTACAATGGCAAACGAACATATATAAATACATATTAAACACATACCTATGGGTTCAAAGAATGCCAAATACAAAATATGACACCAATGGAGAACAATTTTACAAACATGCCATTGCTGGTTGCCACTGTGTGCGTCCTGATTTTATATCAACAAAGTATTTAGTTTCCTTTTTTCTGATTGTATCTAATTTCAGATTTAGTTCTTTTAGAATTGAGACATTTGTTTTCATATGAGTCCATGGCATCTTTAGTAACATTCTGTAGCAATTTGGCTCATGAGATTTGTAACTGTGGAAAATCATTCCTGGTAGAAACTATATTTCTAGTTTGGTACCCTCAAAATTTATTTTTTTAGTTGTTGTAACTTTTACATTGCTCTTACAAGCTGTCTGTTTATATCTTTTTTGTTATCTTCTTCACTAGTAGTCATAAAGCTTGTCTAATTATTATCAGGGACTTGTAAATTCTACAATTACTAGGTGAGTCAAAAAGTAATGCAAGTTTGTTCATAACTTAGAGGAAAAAGAATACACTTGCAATCATCATACCTCAAATTGAAGGGGAGCATCTGAGGATCAGATTTTTATTTCCCAACATAGTCTCCATGCTGTCCACTTTTTACTAAGTCCACATATGTCAGCTGCGTAAAACTGAGCAGGTTGGTCTTAGGGCTACAGCAGTCTTGATTTCTCCATCGTTTCCATAGTATTGACTTTTCAATGGTTCTTTTCAAGGACCAAAAATGTGGAAGTCTAATGGAGCTAAATCAGGAGAATAAGTTGCTTGTGGCAGTGTTTTCCACATAAACAGGGTGATTGTCTCCCTTGATCTGGTACAAAAAAACCACTCTTTCCGTTTTCAAATTTGGTCTGACTCGTCAAATTCTTGCATACAGTCGTTTCAATGTTTCAATGGAGTTCAGAATTGACAGTTGCTCCTCGTGGTAAAGAAAAAATCTGTGAAAAGCACACTATGAACATACCAAAACACAATTGCCATGATTTTTCCGGCTGGCTCCTCTGGACGATGCTTGTCTGACAAATGTATGGACTTCTTCCTCTTCTTCCGGTCCATTGCTTACACGTCTGAGCCATCTATATACATTGACAAAAACTAGAACTTGATCATTATAAACATTTTGAAGTCTCTTTTGGATGTTATTGGTGGATTTTTCTTCTAAAACAAGAAATTCAATCACGCTCTTTACCTCTGACATCTCCAAGAGAGTAGCCATTTTGATGTGACGTCATTCGGGACAAAATTAAAGAAACTTAAATTTTAACAGTCTGAGTTCAAAAGTATATGAGCAAGTATTTGTGAGCTGAATTTCATTAAATTTGATGTAAAATGTTGCAAAATAATGAACAACTTGCATTACTTTTTGACTACCCTCGTACAATTATAATCACAAACTCAAATAATTATGAGGGTGGTCTGAACTTTTTACATACTCATTGTAGAATAATGAAAAATGCTTCCAGTACATTCTAAATATTCGACTACCCCCACAGAAAGTTTCAATTCTTTATGACGTCATTCACACTCAAAATTATATGTGCCACATCTCATGGTTTGGTATCTCAGTCAGACCTAAAATGGCTTTGACAAGCTTCTCTTCGAGCAATGTGCTGTGATTGGATTTTTTACAGCCGAAGGCTGTTCAACAACAAAAATTTATGCTGGTATAATATCTATTTATGGTGAAATATGTGTTGAAGTACTACTAGGCAAAGGGCAAGATCTTTGAAAGTAGAAAATCCAAACATAATATGATAATATGCATTCTGTAAGGCCACAGAGTAGTATGAGCAAGAAAGTGCTGCATATCATTATCTGGGACTGGGAAGGCAAAGTCCACTTGGAGTTCTTATAACAGGGGAAGACAGTTAACTCCAAACAATATCTTACAACTTAACGCTCAGGCTGTAAGCTAACTGTCAGCTGTAAACCTAGGCTGGGAGGGGTTGGCCCTGGGAAGGATGAAATACTGCTGCATGACAGTGTGACAGTGTGTGCCCTCACACAAGTTGGATTTCTCCATCCTGCCACATCCATCATACAAGTCCAGATCTTGCTCCATTGGACTTTTTCTTTTTCCCATGGCTAAGTGAGTGCGTGAAAGGAAACCACTATGACAGTGATGCCAATGTAGAGACTCACAGTCGCATGTGGTGAAGACAAAACTCTGCTGAAATCTTCGCTGATGGGATGCACCAGTTAATACGGTGTAGATTGTAGATTGCAACGGAGACTATGCTGAAAATAAAGTAAGCAGCGTGTAGCTGAGATTTTAAGTTTTCTTTTTGTGTGTCATTTGTGGAAAAAATATTGAAAATAAGAAAGTGATGGTCATATAGGCATTACTTTTCAGCCCATCTTTGTAAAAAAAAATTTGTCCATCCCAGGTTCAATGGTTATGTTTGTGTCTCATTCTGCTTTGTCTATTTTTTTTACTTTTCTTAGCCCTAAGAAACTGAATCTGCTTTTCTCTTTATAAACATTCAGTTCTCATCTATTTCAGTACTACACTATGCCAAACTCTTCTCTGGCCTCAATGCACCTATACCAAGACAATGTCACAGGGGAGGTAAAACCGATTGAACTCTGTTTCCGCGCCAACAAGTACGTCGAGTTTGACAACGGTACCTACATTGTCTCTGCTGATGTGCTACACAGTAAGTGGACTTGACAATGGGGGGCTATATGTGTTGCCAACACATACATACATGCACCCACACACACTCATGCATGCATGCACATACACACACACGCACACACACAAACACTCGCGCACTCGCACATGTACACAC